AGTGAAGGAAATAACCAATCAGAAGTGAGCTCAGGGAACCAATAGAATTTTAGGGGTAACTAAGCTGTTTCAGAGGCAAAAAGTGAGATAGAGCCTCTGGGCCAGGGAACAGGATGGTGCTAGCAGGAGAGTAGTGGCCCTGCCTGGGGGTCCTACCGGTCTTTTTATGGGGCGTCCCACCTCACTGCCAGTAGGCTAAGGACTTTACATGTGATTCTCACTTAATGCCCACGTGAACCCAGGAGATAGGAATGCCCTTGTGTCCATTTTTCAGCAAAGGACATTGATGTCTAGGGACATTGTGACTTGCTCAAGATCTCACAGCCAAGGTGGTGAGAGCCCGCACTTTACCCATTGGGCTATGAGAGTTTTAAAATTATACACTAAGTGTACACAAATAGCATCCCAGGAAGCAACCAGGGCCCTCATTCACCTGGAACATGTCCAAGAAGCAAGAAATAAGCAGCAAGTAACCCTGAGGTGTCCACCCACCCCCATGTCCTAAAGCAGGGACTTGTCCGTAGCTGAGGTCCCAGCTTTCAGTCAGCTCATTGACTTAATTCATACAAAATTCAAATATGCTCCTTCTTCTAACCTCAGGATAATAGAGTAACCTTTAGAAAGCTTGTCAATAAAAGTGATTTAAGAGTACCTGGTGGCACTTTAAGGGTTACATTTCAGTTATCTGGAAAGGTTGTGCTTTCTGGGACCCCAGTTCTTCAGCACTGTGGCTCCAGGTCCAGGTCCAGAGGTCAGGGGATCATGGAGCCAAACTGCTTTCTGAGGCTGAGTAGTGAAACTAGGGGGCAGGTGGCAGAGGGGCTAAGATCTGGACAACAATCTTACTGAAGTCAGGGCCAGGTGCCACAGAAATGTTGAGACGTGTCACGGGATGCTGAGCCTAGGGAGCCACATCTGGGTAGTGACCTGTCACCCCCCTCCCCCAGTGGCAGCGTTGGAGCTCAGGTCGGCTGACCTGCAGAGCTCCAGAAACAACCAGGAGCATCATACACAGGAGATGGGCCTGCAGCGGCTCATCGTGCGCCGCAGCCAGTCCTTCACAATCCAGCTGCATTTCAGCCGACCCTTCCATTCTGGGACCGACCACATCACCTTCATCGCTGAGACAGGTGAGTCCACCCCTCCCAAGGCAAAATTCACCTGGAGTCGCCCTCCCCTCTCTTCTCCTGGGACCCTGAGGACCCTATTAGTGTCATTAAAAAAAGATTTGGCCAATTCAGCAACCAAGGTTGTGATAATAACAGCCAACTTTTAAATTCACACAAATTATCTCATTTAACCCCTGTTAAGACTATCAGGTAGTACTACTATGATCCCATTTTACAGATTAGAAAAACGAAGACCCACAGATCTTAAGTGCTTGCCCAAGGACACCCAGTGGCACTAAAAGGATTAACAAGTGGTGGGAGGCGGTGAGGGTACTTTCAGTCCCCCTGGAATTGTGTCACATAGATTCTGAGCCTCATTTTGGGATCATGCTCTCCTACACAGGACCAGAGCCCACAGAGCTGCTGGGAACCCGAGCCACCTTCTTGCTCACCTCGGCCCGACAAGGAAATGTCTGGAGTGCTTCTGACTTCACCATCGATGCCAACTCACTCTCTGTCTCCCTTTTCACACCGGCCAGTGCAGTCATTGGTCCCTACACTTTGAAGATCAAGATCTCTCAGGGCCAGGGTCACAGCCTGACCCACCTGCTGGGGACTTTTATCCTGCTTTTTAACCCTTGGAGTGCAGGTATGACTCGCTCATAGGTTGTGATGCTAACTGATCTATTGGGAACGCTCTGTGAGGGTCTACTTAGAAAGTCCAGAAAAGAGAATGCTGCACATCTATGCAAGGTGTTACCATGTGCTCACTAAAAACCATCTTTACAGAGAATTTTTAATGGGATGACTAAAATGTTCATGGTGTGATGTTAAGTGAAATCGATTAGGAAATGGAACACACGTGATCCTAACTTTATCACATGTACGTGCAGAGAAAGAGAGGGGCCAGAATACACCAAAACGTAGGTGGGTGTCTCTGAGTAGTGAAAAGGGGTGATCTTCACTGTCTTCTTTCCATCATCTGTATTTTCCAAATCTCTATAACAAGCTTGCTGCTTTTACAACCAGGGGAAGAATTTTTTTTTAAAGTATAGATTATATTGCTGGTCTCTAGAAAAGCACACGGACTTTTAAGGAGTCCAGTCTTGAATTTCTATTGCCACCAACCCATTGTTTCTCTGATTATCCAGCAAGATACTGTCATTACTGTTTTTTAATTTTCTTACTGTTTGTTTTTTGGTTTGGGGTTTTGCCTCCTCCTCTACTCTCAACTGCTCAGAGGATGACGTCTACCTGCCAAGTGAAATACTGCTGCAGGAGTATATCATGATGGACTATGGCTTTGTTTACAAGGGTCATGAAAGATTCATCACCCCCTGGCCCTGGAACTACGGGCAGGTAACAACGTCACCGGAAGTGGACCTTAGACAACTCTGTTAGCTCAGGAAGCATCACTGACAAAAGTCAGGGTGTGTGGTGCTGGACCAACTTCCCACCCAGTGAGAGGTGCAGAGAAGGAAGGGGAGACACTCTTCCTTCTTAGTTTTTTAATATTTTACATGAAAAACTTAAAACATAATGCAAGTAGACAGACTCCTATAATCAAACTCTATGAACTTCCTACCTTTAATAGTGGTTAATTTATGGTGAACATTGTTTTGTCTGTACCAGGGGTTTGCAAACTATAGTCTATGGGCCAGATGTGGCCCACTGCTCATTTTTGCATGGCCCATGAGTTCAGAATAGTTTTCATACTTTTTAAACTGTTGAAAAAGAATTTTTAAAAGATAATACAGTCGTCCCTCATATTCACAGGGGATTGATTCCAGGACTCCTCCACAGATACTAAGATCTGAGCATGCTCGAATCCCTTATATAAAATAGCATAGTATTTGCATGTTAACCTATGCACATCTTCCCATCTGCTTTTACATCATCTCTAGATACTATACTACCTAACACAACAGAAACATTATGTCAATTGTTGTAAATACAATGTAAATAGTTGCAGGCACTATGCAGCAAATTCAAGTTTTGCTTTTTGGGACTATCTGGAATTTCTTTTTCTGAATATTTTCGATCCTATTGGTTGAATCCATGGATACGGAACCCATGGACATAGATGGCCAGCTGTATTTTGTGATGTGCAAATTATATGAAGCCATGAATAGAGCCATGCTCATTGGTTAGGTATCATCTGTGGCTGGTTTCATGCTACAATGGCAGCTTTGAGCAGTTGAGGCAGAGGCCCTATGGCCTACAAAACCCGAAATATTTATTATCTAGTCCTTTACAGAAAAACTTTGTGATCCCTGGTGTATGCTCCCCCATTCCTCCCACCTCATCACTGGTTTTTTAGAAGCAAATTACAGACATCATATCATTTAATACAGCAATACTTCCAAATACAGTTCTAAAAGATGATGACTCTTTCTGAAAAACTGAACCATAATACAATATTATAACCAAAAATAATGAACAGCAATTCTTTAATAACAGCAAACATCCAGTCACTGTATACAGAGGGGGACCTTTGGGTTTGGGCAACTTTTCTGCTCTCAGCCTCCAACCACGGCTGGGGTAGTTTCTCTCTGCCTCCCACTGCCTCTCAGCCTGGTCCACACATGCCCAGAGGGAAGAGGCGGGGGATTGCACGGACACTTCCTGAGGAAGATCAGCTTCCCTGTTCTCCAGCCATAACTTATGTCAGTTTTTGAAACTCAGAAAAATACCAGTGCATTAGGCAGCCAGAAGGGTTACGAGACAAAAAGCGAATACATCTTGTAAACCTATGTCATGAGTCTACATAGGCTTCTCCTGTGCTCATACATCAGCGCGGAACCCTCTACCTGATTTCCAGGTGCTCCCTCCACCTCTTCTCCCTCTTCTCACATGCCTGGCCTTGTATTTATCCATCTGATCTTGTCCTACTCCCACAAGCCGTCCAGAAGGAAAACCCCACAGAACCCAAAGAGCTAAGGTGAACGCCCCCACCCTGCTCTCTTCCTGTCTACCTCCAATAGACTTCTCTGACCTCTTTAGCTGACGCTCATCTCTCCAAATGTTTGCATTTTCCATCAGAGCCACACAGGTTAGTTCTTCAGAATTCTGAATCTCATACATTCCCAAATTGACCTACAAGCTCTTTGAAGTCAGGACCTTGTCTGATATTTAACCCCACCCCTTACCTCACCAGATACACATCATCCTTAAAAGTCTGTGTTACAGATTTGAAGTGAATTCTATTTATTGAGGGGTGTGGCTGTGACCATTAGGCTTTTTAAATTTTTTATTTTATCTTTTTATGTATTTATTTTTGTTGAGGGGAGGTAATTAGGTTAATTTTTAATGGAGGTGCTAGGGATTGAACTCAGGACCTTGTGCACGCTATAGCGGCCCGCACTATGCCGCTGGGCTGTACCCTCCCCGCCAGAATTCTAGACGTTTTTTACTCTTCTTTGTTCTTCCCTGAAATCCCCTGGAAGTTTGAAGAGGGCATCATAGATATCTGCTTTGAGATCCTGAACAAGAGCCTGTCCTTCTTAGAGAACCCGTCCAAAGCCTGCTCCCAGCGGAACGACGTGGTGTACGTCTGCAGGGTGGTGAGCGCCATGGTAAGGCCAGACGCCGCCCCGGCCCTGCCTGAGGACGGTCCGAGCCCCGCGCCCCGCCCCGGGCCCGCGCCACCCACCTGCCTGTCCTCCGCAGATCAACAGCAACGACGACAGCGGCGTGCTGCAGGGGAACTGGGGAGAGGACTACTCCAGGGGGCTGAGCCCGCTCGAGTGGAGCGGCAGCGTGGCCATCCTGCGGCAGTGGTCGGCCGGCGGCGGGCAGCCCGTCAGGTACGGGCAGTGCTGGGTCTTCGCAGCTGTCATGTGCACCGGTGAGTGAGGCGGACGCGAACGCAGAATCCCTGAGTCTTCGGCATAACGCTTCGAGGTCGGGCGGGGATTATGCCCACTTCGCCCGAGTTACCTGTGGCTTGTCGGCAGCCCCACAGCTGAGGAGTGGCGGGCTCCCGCGCTTGCCCCGCGCGCGCTGTGTTCTCCAGGAATCCCGCGATAACCAGCGAGGCAGGACGACCCGCTGCAATCACTCCGCGGTCTCCTTGATGCAGCAGTTAGTCCGTTAAAGTGGTTGCCTACGTAGGAGAGCTTGTGGTCCCAAAGTAGAGGCAAAATTGGCTTTTTTTCTGCCACCTACCCGGGCTTCTCAACTCCAGGTGAGCCTGGAGTCGGGGACAGGTTGGGGGAGGCTTGAGGTGCCAGCAGATGGCCTGGGACAGCATGTCTCACCTGCAGGTACCGCTGGCTGCTCTCAAACGCTTCTTGGAGAGATTCCTGGGGAGTTACAATTAGAGATGTACTACTTTGCTAACTACCCTTAACGAGCATCAATGTTTTACGCATTATCAATTATTTACAATTTAGTGCCAAGTCGTTTATCAGATAATCTGTGAAGTTGAGGGAAAGGACTGAGGTGCCTGCCTGCCTGCGTTCCCCCTTCCAGGCAGGAGTACTTTATGCAGAGCTGCCTGTTACACTGTGGTGCTCAATCAGTTTGCTTAACAAATGGGTTGACTCTGAGTTGGAGAATGAAAGAACACAGAGCTGGAGGACAGAGACAGGGCCCAAAGACAAAGTTCTAGACATTTCTGAGAGGGGCAGCACAGCTTGGTAGCACACAGTGGAGAGGTTTAAGTATGAGGGTTCAACTCAAGCGACCTCACTGCTCACTTGTTTTCTCCCAGGCCCTAGCGTTCTGGGGCCAATGAGCGTCGGGAGAGCAGCTCCTGCCTGGCTGCCTCTGGCCACTCACAGCCCTGGTCTAACTTTCACCCCTGCCAAGGGTTTATGAAAAGTCCAGGAGCTATGCGGGGAGTGGACAGGTGCTTGTGGACAGGTAGCGCCCTCTGGGGCTCTTGAATGAATTGAAATGAAAAAGATTGTTCAGTCTCAATTGTCTTTTTACTTTTAGAATCACTGTAATCCTCCCAGCAGCCTCAGTAGGCACCATCTGCTCCTCCTACCAGGAGAGGGGTAGGATAAACCTCTCTCTAAAATCCTTGCCTTGCTGGTAGAGGTTGGGACCTGTGTACCAAAAGTCACACCTGGCTCTTGGCTTGATATCTGGCCCCCGGCAGGTGTTGTGATGGGGAGAGGGGTGTAGTGTCTGCTTTGTGTGATTCCTGAGAAGCCACAAGAGGGTGCTGTTGCCTCATCAAAGATGGTCATTCCCTAGTACATGCAGATTCTCTGTCACTGACGTCTTCCACGTATCTGTGTAAGTCTATCTTAATCTTCTATCCTTGCTCTGATTTCTTTCTTACCTCCTCCAAACCCTTTTATTTGAATAGAATTACAGATCCAGACTTTCAGAACTGGAAATCATCTGGTCCAACGCTTCATTTTGTTACATACAAGAAGACTAAGGCCCAGAGAAGTTAAGCCACTTACTCAAGGTCACACAGCTTCTCTTCTGGCCACAGCATAGGCCTAAACTTTTTCATTTTCTTTCAAATTATCAAATGTTTCGGTTCTCTGTTTTTAACTTGGAAAGATGCTGAATGTAAAAAGCCCTAAATGGTAAACCTGACTTGTGAATTGCTGCTTTAAGTGACCATCAAATTTCTTTCTCCTGGTGGAATGGAAACATGGATAGGGTGGGTAGGCAGCAGGGTTCTGGGCCTGGGTGCTGTGCTCTGGGGATAAAGGATTTACAGTTACGGTTCTGCAAGAATCTTGGCCTTTTTCTCTCTTCCAGCTTGAAAATTAGAAAGTATGCACATGAAACCATTGATTCTGCTTGAAATGAACTCAGTGATTCCCCATGCTTGTCTTCTCTTTAGTAATGAGATGCTTAGGTGTTCCAACCCGTGTCGTTTCCAATTTCCGTTCTGCACACAACGCAGATGCGAACTTGACCATTGATACCTACTATGACCAAAATGCAGTGATGCTGCCAACTCAGAAACGAGACAAAATATGGTAAGGGGGACTGTCTCCTACAAATGTCTGCTCTAGCTCAGTTAGGGTAGGAGAGTTCTGACCTGATTCTCTCTGGCCTTGAGGAAATACTGCCCTGTCCATTGTTGCTGATGCTCAGAGAATAAGTCCCCCAGCCAGGAAGCTGTTCTGGCTAATTAGATCATCACATCAAGCTCATTTCAGAGACAGGAAGACTATGGGATAACATATTCTGAAGCTGGCAACCAAATGAATAGATCAGGCATCCCCTGAGTGCTGACCTCAAAAATCTTCATTCTTCTTACTCTTCCTTTGAGCTTTTCTGTTTGCATGTATCTCTGTTTCTTGGTTGGGGCAAAGCCAGGAGTAGCTGCCTCTGCATACTTCCTGCATCCTCTCTTGACCTCTCCGCTCCCAGCCTCACTCCCTCTCTGCAGGCATGTGTGTGCACATCTTTGTGTGTGTGTGTTTGTGTGTTGTCTATCGTCTATCTCTGTGTGTCCCCTTATTTTTGGATCTCTAGTCACTTCCCTTGGTTCTTTTCTCCTCTGCTCTCCCCCAAATATGATTTCTGGTTTTTGCTTTTCCAGCCAGTTTCCAGGTAAGACTTTCAAGTTGCATGAGAACTAGCTGCTGTCCTTGGACCTCCCTTCCTTCTCTGGCTCTTTGAGGGCTGAAACTTCTCTGGTTCAGTGAGTAGTAATGTATCTGAGCAGAACATATCACTTATGTAGAATTCTGTCTGTGAATGCGTAACCTGAATCTAATTGTGAGGAAACTTCAGGCGAGCCCCAAATGAGAGCCGCTCTGGTAAAAATAATTCAATAAAGACTGTATTCAGGAGGTCAATGTGCTAAAACGAAGGCTGAGGAACTCTTCCAGATTGAGGGACACAAAGAATATTGGACAACTGAATGCAATGTGTGATTCTGGACTGGGTGGAAAAGAATCCCATAAAGGACACTATTAGGTCAACTGACAACACTGAAATACAGACAATAAAGTCAATAAAATCGTATTGATATTCAATGTACGAGGTTGATAACTATACAAGGATATTTAAGGGAAGATCGCTATTCTAGGAATCTCATTATCTGCGCTGAAAGAAAGCCAGTGATAAAGCAAATGGGGCAATTTGTTAACAATAGATGACCTGGGTAGATGGGGGTTCTTTGTACTATTCTTGCAACTTTATTGTAAGCTTGAAATTACTTCCAAATAAAATGTAAAAAAACCCAGAAGAAACAATGATATAAAGCACTCAGTATAGGGTCTGATATCTCGCAAAGGCTCTGAAAATGTGAGTCCTTTTCTCCTTACTGCTTTCTGCAGGAATTTTCATGTCTGGAACGAGTGCTGGATGATCCGGAAAGATCTCCCTCCAGGATACAATGGGTGGCAGGTTTTGGATCCCACTCCCCAAGAAACCAGCAGTGGTGAGTAAGGACCACAGTGGAAGGGCCTGGGCTCTGCAGGGAGGCTGACCAGGGTGATTGACCCCGTGAGTAAGAGGCCAGAAAGCAGCGATGCCTTTTCCACTTTGTCCCCTTTCCAAAGTCAGAGCAGAGACAACTTGGGGTCAGGGGTCCAGCTTTGCCACTGACAGCTGGGTGACCCGTGGAGTCTCTGGACCTCGCAGTTGTTTGCTCACCTGTGAAGCAGGGAAGAGGAAGGTGATGACTGTTGCTTCCCAGGGTGGCTGTGAGGATCAGATGAATTAATGGGAACTGGAGAGCACCCCTTGGATGAGGATCGTCAATGCCCCTGCCCCTCCCCATCCCACCTCACTACCTCCCACAGCCTTGACCCTCTGGCCCTGGCCCACATGTCAGCAGCCGTGTTAGCGGTCCACAACTCCTGTTCCCTGCACAGGGCTGTTCCGCTGTGGCCCTGCCTCCGTGAAGGCCATCAGGGAAGGGGAGGTCCACCTGCCCTACGACACCCCTTTTGTGTATGCTGAGGTGAACGCCGATGAAGTCATTTGGCTGTTTGGGGGTGGCCAGGCCCTGGAAATCCTGGCCCATAACATCAGTTCCATCGGGAAGGAAATCAGCACCAAGATGGTCGGGTCAGACCAGCGCCAGAACATCACCAGCTCCTACAAGTACCCAGAAGGTGCCTGGGGCCCCAGGGATTCAAGGACTGGGGCGGCTGTTACCTCCTTTTGTGGCCTCCCAGTGGGGATGGGGATGGCTCTCACATTAAAACCATCACCACTTAATCATCTCCTCTTCAAAAGATGACGCAGAACAGCGTTCAGTATTTATATTCAGGAACTCATCTAACCCAAATTTTTGGCAACTGTATGAGGCAGGGAGATATCCCTGGGCTATAGATGACAGAACTGAGCACTATGAGGTTAAGGGACTATGACAGAGCAAGGATTTGAACCCAGCCCCAAGCAACACCAACCTCCTTGTTCTCAGCCGCAATGCTGTGTTGGCTCCTTGGGCAGCTATCCTTGGGAAGAGATCTGGGAGCTGTTGGGTGCCTCGTTTCCCCAAGGTCATTGGTCCTCTGGGCCCCTCCCCACTGATGTCTTTACCGGCTCTCCTCTCTGTCAGGATCCCCGGAGGAGCGCTCTGTGTTTATGAAGGCCTCCCGGAAGATGCTGGGCTCAAGAAGGGCCTCGTCACCCTTCCTGGACCTGCTGCGGTCCAGCGGTTCTAAGGATCAGCCGGTGCAGCTGCAGCTTCACCTGGCCCAGACGCCCGAGTGGGGCCAGGACCTGCTGCTAGAGCTGCATGCCCGGAGGGTGGCAGACAGAGCCCACCCCCAGGGGCCCATCAGACTGGTGGTGCGCTTCTGCGCACAGACCTTGCTGCACAGCGGCGGCACCCGGCGGCCCCTCTGGAGGCAAAAGGTGCACTTGACCCTGGACTTTGGGGAGGGTGAGTAGGAGGCAGGCCCAGAAAAACATATATAAGGAGGGGAGCTTTGGGGCCATGAACAAAACACCCCAACCACACACACACACACACACACACACACACACACGTTGGGCAGTGAAGCTGCTGTTGGCAGGAGGTTGAACGCCAGGTGCTGTGCCTCCAATGCTGTCCCGCCAGGTGGAACACAGCAGTGACCCTGAGGAACTTGAGTGCAGGGTAAGCGCAATCTGTCTCTTTCACAACACACACACTTTCACACACATGTAGTTGTTTTTTGTTTTTGTCTTTTTTTAATGGAGGCACTGGGGATTGAACCCAGGACCTCGTGCATGCTAAGCACATGCTCTACCACTGAGCTAAACCCTCCCCTCCCACACACACATATTATCTAACACAAACTGATTTTTCCTCTCTCACACATACACATTTCTCTCTCTCTCTCTTTCTGAGACCCGTTCTCAAACTCAAAAGACGTCTTTTGTCTGTGCTTAGAGATACAGCGATCCCTCTCGCTGCCCTACAACAATTATAAAAACAAGCTAACGGATGAAAAGCTGATCCGTGTGTCTGGCATCGCCAAGGTAGCAGAGACAGGGAGGTCCATGCTGGTCCTAAAGGATATATCTCTGGAGCCTCCCCACTTAGCGATTGAGGTAAGGCATCTGGACAGAGATGGCGCCCAGGGACCCTCTTCTCACTCAGCCCCGGGGCTGGGGGGACTGCAGCCAGTGAGACGGCCCCTGCCCTGGACACCAAAGGGATGATTGAAGTGCAGTATGGTGTGGTCTCTTGTGCTCTGTGCAAAGTGAATGCTTCCCAGAGGAGGTGAAATTTTACAGAGGATGCACAGGAAGATACTATGGAGAAACAAGATGGAGATGAAGGCATTTTAAGTAAGGAAATAGCCTTGCAGAGGGAAAGAGACAAGAAAGGCAGTAACTGGAAGATGGAGCGGAGAGGACAGGTTTGAGGGAGACCATAAGCCAAATCCCAAAGGTGACTGTTGATAAGACAGAAGTGACAAAGAAGAGGGAAACAAAGAAAAGGTGAGCCTAACTACTGTATACAGATAAACAACACGGTCCTTCTGTACAGCACAGGGAATAATATTCAATACCTTGTAATAGCCTCTAGTGAAAAAGAATATGAAAAGGAATATATATATTATATATATAAGTATAACTGAATCACTGTGCTGTACACCAGAAATTAACCCAGCAGTGTAAACCAACTATACTTAAAAAGGAAAAAAGGCTGAGCCTCACATTTCAAGTTCAAGAGCTTGAGTGCCTGGCAAGGCCATGGCATGAGGAAGGAATACAGGTGAAGGAAGGGTAAATGGAGGAGGGCAGGGAGGATCCCCATCTCCTATTACCAGGGTTTTCCTTCCTGTGAAGTCCCCTTTGCCCACTTTCCCCTCCCACATGAAAGACTTACCCTCTGCCTAGCCTCCACCTGGCTTTGACTGATTGTCAACAGCACCCTCCGTCCCCACCAGAAGGAGAGTTGAGCAGCTCCTCGTCATCAACCATCTGGCCACGTGACAGTTTTCAGCTGGGCATGCTGTCAGGTTTTCAGGCCAAGTCATACAGGGCAGCCTCCACGGAGGGGGTGGGGGAGCAAACAGTGAGCAGAATCAGGAGTGTAGACACAAGCCTGGGGCTGAAGTGAGGGTCCTGCCTGTTACCCAGAGCCCTGATGACAACAGGATCCAATGCAAACACGTCAGATGCCAGGTAGGCTATTAACTGGTCCCCTAAGGGACCCAGGGATGGTCTGCGTGACTAGACTAGATTCCAAAGTTATTTTGACCTTATTCCACTTTGGCACCCTCACTACAGTCCAAGGGACTTGTTTCCTTTCTTTGAATTCCAGAGAAGTCAGGATGTGTTCTTCCCTCTACTTGATTCTCTGGTTGAGTCAGAGTCCCCAGTGCGATCTGGGTTATCAGAGTCCTTTCAGTTCAACACTCATTTACAGAATCTCCATCATTTGGCTGGCTCTGTGTTAGGCACTGGGGCTCTTGGGGCTCTTGAAGTGGGTAGGATGGAATCCCTGCCTCCCACTCCCAGGCCAAGGCCATGCTGCCCTATATGACACAGACCTCACATGTGACATCTGGATGCACCTGGAAAAACTCAGAGTGGGTTTGCTAGTGTATATAAAGACAGAGCAGCCTGGGGGAAAGGTCCTGGCTTCTTGCTGGGGCCTGGCACACCTGGCACATCTTGGCTCAGGTCCTGGCTCTGCCATTAACATATCCTGTGACCTTGGCCTCAGAATGACATCACCGAAACAACAAGGTTCTACAGGATAGCACAAGAAACTATATTCAATATCTTATAATAATCTATTCTGAAAAAGAGTATGTGTGTGTATGACTGAATCACTATGCTGTACACCAGAAACTAACACATTATAAATCAACAATACTTCAATTAAGAAAAATAAAATAGCATTTGAGAAAAAAAAAGAACATCACTGGTGGCACATGGATGGCACACATGACACTTCTTCCTTCTCCCATGCCTTTGTCAGACACTACTAATCAATCACAGCTCTCTCACTGACTCTGGATGGTCCCCATGACCCTTTTGTACCACAGCATTTTTATCAGCTACAATTCACGGATGGGAGCTGGCACTTAAGTGGAAATCCAAGTGCCATCCTGAGCTAGATGGTGGGAAGGGAAATAGGTTTCAGCTTGGTGCCAATTTGGTTGGTGGTGGCTTCCTGAAGTCCTGTGGGCTGAGCTTCTAAGACAGGCCAGGATATGTGTTCACCTTGAATACTCTTAGGTCAGGTTCTTCTCTTTCCCTGCAGCATCTTAGCTCTAAGTAAGCAGTCCCTGGTGGCAGCCAGGCCAGGTGCCAGCAGAAAGATGAGGAAGTGAGGTTGCTGAATTGAGTGCAGAAATGAGGCCAGTGGCCCATGATATCCCCGTCTTCTCTCCACACAGGTGTCTGAGAGGGCTGAGGTGGGCAAGGCACTGAGAGTCCACATCTCGCTCACCAATACCCTCTCGGTGGCCCTGAGTCACTGCACGATGGTGCTGGAGGGCAGTGGTCTCATCGATGGGCAGATATCAAATGAGTAAGAACCAAGGCCATCCACCTGTCTCATACTGGTCTTTGATAAGGGGGGCTTTGTGGGGTCATAGGACGGTCCTCAGTCTCCTGGATGGTGCCTCCTGGCTCCCATCTTCTCACGCTTCTCGGGGAAACTGAGCTCAGTGATGCT